GCAGGGCCGCAGCCGCTCCGCGGGCGCCCCCGGAAGCCATGACCCCCGGCGCGCGCCCATGGAGCCATGGCCTATAGGGTCCGGGGCCGCGCGGGGCCACCTCAGCCGCGGAGGGCGCGCAGGCTGCTCTTCGCCTTCACGCTCTCGCTCTCCTGCACTTACCTGTGCTACAGCTTCCTGTGCTGCTGCGACGGGCTCGGCCGCAGCCGCCTCCTCGGGGCGCCGCGCTGCCTCCGCGGCCCCGACGCGAGCGGCCAGAAACTTCTCCCGAAGTCCCGCCCCTGCGATCCCCCCGGGCCGCCGCCCAGCGCGCCCGCCCCGCGCCTCGCGGGCTCCAACCACTCGGGCTCCCCGAAGCCGGGCACCAAGCGGCTGCCCCAGGCCCTCATCGTGGGCGTGAAAAAGGGGGGCACCCGGGCCGTGCTGGAGTTCATCCGGGTGCACCCGGACGTGCGGGCCTTGGGCACCGAGCCCCACTTCTTCGACAGGAACTACGGCCGCGGCTTGGACTGGTACAGGTAAGCGCGAGTCCCCGCGCGGGGTCTCCGCGGCGCGCCGCGCTTGGAGCCCTCTCCTGCGCTTTCTCTCCCCGAGGTCCGTCGGCGGCGCGGCTCCGCGGTGGGCTGGGCTGGGGTGTGGGGATGTACCCGGAGTGTTCGCCCGGAACTTCGCCGCGTTTGCCTAGCCGGGCACGCGGGCTCTTGACCTGCAAAGGGCGTTCCCTGTCGTCCCCGGAGTCTGGGCAAGGAAGGGAGGTCTCCAGTTGGAGGGCTGGCCCGTGTCCAGCCTTTTCAGGATGGGTGGAGCGGTGCAGCCCCGGGGCTGTCGGACCACAATCCTGTCTTGGCCCTAAATAGATCTTCCCGGGTTCCAGAGCACCTGAAGGGCGAAGGGGAAGTCAGGAGAGAGCCCCCAGGGGGTGGGGGCTGTGTTTAAGAAAGGGCCTCACAATCCCGGCAGAATGAGAGGCCATCCCCGAGGTCTCCACGCAGAAGGGCCCCTGGGGGCGTCTCAGGTACGGGGCTGATTCCTGCAGTCGCCCTGCCTCTGGCTTAGGGTCTTGGAGTAACCGAAAGAACCCTAGATTCGTCTTCCTCCTGTCACTTGCTTGACAAGTTCCTGAACTCCCCCAGCCTCTCTTTTCTCGTCCCTTGCAATGGGCAGGAAAACAGTCTTGCCTCGTCCTTCTCTCGAGGCTTGCCCAAGGCAGTCTAAAAATGTGCACGGGACACCTTGGTCGGGCTGCGCTGGGCAGGGCTTCCAAACCAGCAGCCAGGATGCGGAATTCAGGATACAGGTGTGCACCCCAGGTGAAGGCCAGCCAGGGTCTTGGGGCAGGCAGACGTGTGTAGACGGCTCTTCCCCTGCACTGGCAGGTGGTGTCTGCGCATGGACTGACGCGTCTGTAAAGTGGAAGGCGCACTCTCCAGTCCCACCTGCCTCCCGGCCCCTGCGCGGTGTGGAAGTATGGGATACACCCGCAGGTGGGCTGAGCCAGGGTCTCTGGTCACACTTGGATCCCGGAACGCTTACCATTCCCCGGCCTCCTGAAGGCGTTCTAGAAACGTCTGCATAGTAATGGAAAGGCACAGAGCTGGCAGTGCGGTTGGCAGAGTGGCTAATGCCAATTCTATTATTTTTATAAAAGTAAACCTTTTAGACAGTACAGGTCATAAGCATATTGGACAAAGGACGGTTTTATGAAAAAGAAGACCCTACTGGATCCACAGCAGGGAGCTCTGGGTTTGCAAGAAGGAGGGACTGCAGGGCCAGCTTGTCACCCTTGCCAGCTAGCCCTGGCCCGCAGTGCTGAGGTTGTGAGGACAAAGATTGGAGGCACGTATGTCCTCAGGGGAGAAGCATGTTGTCTGCAGGAGCCAAGCAGTGGATAGCTGGCCAGTGGGTGCCCCAGCACCATCATGGCTGGTGAGTCAAACAGGGTGGCCCGTGGCGCCAAGCGTGGCTTTGTGCCAGTGCTGACGTCCCACTGTGCCTTCTGAGCTCTCACTCACAGGCATCCCTTCTAGGTGTGTGGGGACACTGTCTGAGCCAGGGTAAGGCCGGGCAGCAGCACCCTGCCCAAGTCAGTCAGCCGTGGCCACGCTCAAATGCATGCCAGGGTTTCCTCGATGGAAAATCTGAAGATCATTATGAAAGCTTCTGCCAATGTGAAGTGCCTTTTAAATGCAAAACAGCAACATTCTGAGCATCTGGCTTTTCGATAATGCGCCTCTAATAAACACCTATGCTCTGAACCCAGGCTCCCCTCTGCCTCTCCCTCTCCACCACTGAGCAGCATACCTCAGGCTTCCTTGCCAGACTGTGTCATTCAGGGATGGCTGCTTCTTATTTTTAACCTTGGCATGTGTGATTCTAAGCCAGCTTAGCTGTGAACCTTAGAGATGGAAGCCATGCCTTTTTTTTTTTTTCTAGCACATTTGGATTCTGCTAAAATTCTCAGCTGAGTCTTGGTAGGTTTTATTTAACATCAAGCACACTGACAGCTCAACTTCTCTCTCTGCTCCCCCCGCTGCCCTTTCCTCCTTTATATAGCTAGAAAGAGATTAGCCCTGAGGTCTGGTCGTAACTCCTGTCCCCATCACCTGCCCAGGAAGGCTGAGGACACAGCCTACAGCCCTTGGGAAACCAGTGTGTAGTTTGTACCTCTTTCAGTTGCAGATCCGCACACCCAGAGTCCAGGGTTGCAGGGGTGGCTTGTCATTTCTGCACAAGCTAATACTTCCCCATTTGGAGCTGGTATCAGTAATCTCCAGAGCATTTCTTTGTGTGTGCTTTATCTTTATTATCACTCCAGTAATATGCACTCAGGGAAGAAACAGAGGGGATTTCTGGGATCCTTTAAAACCCATGTCTTCCTTCTCTTCCTGAATGCCATGCGTGAGGTGCCGTGGGTGACAGCAGGTTCCTCTTTCTGCCCACTGCCCTCTTGATTGCACAGCTTGCCATCAGAAAGCCAGTGTCCACCAGGTAGACAAGGCAAGGACGCTCACCGTCCACTCACTCCAGCCACTCACCGCAGTGGGCTGTGTTTTCCAAAGGCGGGCGGCAGAGTTCACTGCGGGCAGAGGATATGACGACGCTGTGCCCACATCCAGGGCCCTGGTGCTACTTCCTGGGCTAGGAGATCTGAATCCAGGTTGACACTGGGAAAATCAGTATCATTATCTTCACCCACAGGTGGAACTTCTTTCTGTGGGTGCATGAGATACGATTGCTGGAGGCAGAGTTACAGAGCCAGAGAGAATGAGTCAACCAGAGGGACGAGGAGACAGAACGTGCACCTTCCTCATCCCGTCTAAGTCCCCTTTTTCAGACTCCTCAAAGGATTGTCTAAGGACCTGAGGCCCATGTCCTTGGAGATTCCAGTCCTGTGCTGCAGGAGTCCCTCTCGTTTGCTGCCTGTTTGTGATCTCTGATGCTTGTCTCCCCTATGCTCCTAGCCTGGGTTCCCTTCTCCAGATTTCCTCCCCAAGGCAGCAGCTGGGCCTGCAGAGTAGGACCCACTAGAACTGCCTGGACAGGGACGCACGCGAGGGAGTTGGGGAAACCAGAACGGACCACCTGTGCAGAAGACCGGAGACCATCCCCGAGACACTGCGCAGTGTGAAGAAAGGCGCCCCTCAGCTGCCTTACCATAGAACGGGATCTGCAGTAACTAGCCTAGAGTAAATGCGATCCTGTATGTGGAGTAGCCCGGAAAAAGTCTTCCATACATAGAGATAAGGCAGTAATAACTACCAGTGCCGCTAACTCTGTGACTTCACTACCAGCGCTCCCTTGAGCACCGTTACACTGTTAGTACTAAAGCTATTCGTTTTTGTCCCTGCTGCGATTACCAAGTGTGGCTGAGGAAGTCACTGCTAGAAAAATGCTGCGTACTTCTTTTTCTTACTTCCTTTCTACCTTCTTTTCTCTCTCCCCCCTGTTTTCCTTTTTCTTACCTCTTTTCTGCCTTTCCCCTTTCCTCCCTTCCTCCCTTCCTTTTGCTTCGATAAAAAGTCACTTTACGTTTCTGCATACCAGTGCGATCATTAAAATGGGGTGGTGCCCGACCTGCATTCCAACGCTGTAAAAATCACTGAAGAGAATCTATGTGACAAGGCTCCTCCCAATCCAAGATGGTATTTAAAATGCCATTGTTCTCCTGAAGTTTGTGAGACCCACTAGTCTTTTATCAAGAAGTAGATGGAAGCTACACTGTGTCCAGGAGTCTGTAGGGTCCTAGAGAAAGTCGAGTTTTGTCTAAAGCGCTCTCAGTTTTGGTAGTACTCCAGGTTGGCAGGTTGTGTGTGTGAAGAGGAGGTGAATCTTCTCTAAATGCATTAAAACGCCAGCAAGAGCAAGTTAATATGTGATAATTGACTCTGTGCTCTGGTGTCCAAATTTTGATAGATGAGCCTGTGCTATAAATTTTCAACTCCATTTCACAACTCTGGTTATTTATTTGTTCAGCATCAGTGGTGCTCTTGGGACTGCGTAAGACAAAAAAGACACAGCATTTGTCCCAGAGGCAATAGTCTAAGTAAGATAGAGAATAAGAAGCGCAGAATGAAATCTATCACATTATCAAGCTCATTTCAATCAAGAAACCATATTCCAACAAGGAATCCAAGCTCTGGAAAGACAAACACTGGGAAGATATAAACCCAGCGGCAGAAGATGCAGGGGACTTCTGCTTAAAGGAGGAAATGCAGAATGTTGATCATCTTATAACAACCTGAGCAAGGCACGAAGCAGACTGACCCACACTCACTGGGGGTGCACAGGGGCACGTGTGGATGCACCCCACCTTTGTAAATTTGCATGCACAAATAATGTCTTGCAGACTTACTCTTTCTAAGAAGTTTTCCAGCCTGGGTCCAGGGGGATGTCACATACTCTGATGAAATGAAACCGCTGAGTCCCCGAATCCCCCACCCACCTTGTAGCTCTGTCAGCCTCGCAGCATGCGGGAGATGTAATAGTTAGTGCCAGCATGTGTACAGTTCTTGTCAGGCACCGAGGAGCATTCAGAGTGGGCCAGGAGAGCTGTCACTGCCCAAAGAAGCTTTTCAAGGAGGTGGTTTCACTTCCCCGTGGAGATTGCGGGGACTGTAGGAGAGGGTGGAGTGACGGACCAGAGTCCCTCAAAGCCTCTGGGTATGAAATCTGCGGTGGTGACCTGACAGTCCCTGAGCTTTTTACCTGCCACACACTGTTGTTCTTTGGGTGTTACAATGTGGAAATAGCCCTTATCCGAGGACATAAGTAGCACGATTGTTTTTCACATGTTAGTGTCTCTGAGATTAGGGTATGTCATACGCTGGGTGCTGGATGTCCCACACGGAATGAGATGCGCTGGCTCCGCACTGGTTGGAAAGGCCTCCCCTCACGTACCAAAGCGCCTTCTCCCTTAGAGACCTGGGTTCCCAGTTAGCCTGAAATCCGCTGTCCCTTTGAAGAGCAAAGAATCCCTTACCAGCTTCCTGTCTGCAGTCAGCAGGGGCCTCTTCTGATT